GCGCGCTCCGGGGTCCGTGGGCAGCGGGGCCTGGGCACGGAGGCCTGCCCGGCCGGTGCCGTGACCGACGTGCCGCGGGGGCACAAGATGCCACCTGGAGGTGCCATCAGACTGGCGTCCCATTGGCCCAGTGTGTGCCCGGCATTCTGCCAGGAATGAGATTTTCGGGGTATAAAGCGTAGCTCTGATCGTGAGGCAGCCGTGCAGGTGGGGACCCCGGGCTGCGCGCACAGCTCCCGCAGGACCGGAGGCCTGCGCCAGAGGCCCGCGCACAGGGCCGCGGTGACCGACCCCGGGAGACCGCAGCCCCGCCGGCCCGCTCCCCACCCTGCGGCAGCTCTGTCGCAGCCCTGCCTCGCCGCTCCAAGGCCTGGCACGCCAGGTCCCAGGGAGGGCCCCACCCGCGGGGCACCTGCCCAGTGCGGCCCACTCCCTCCAGCTGATGCAAACAGCCCTCTGCACAGGCTCCTCCATGGAACCTAGTGCCTCTTCTAAATATTTGAAGTTGTACCTTCATTCTTTAGGGTATTTTTCGGTATTTTATCATAGCATCAAATAAGCAAAAGCAGAGCGAATAAATAGGGTGACTGTAGATAATAATAATAATAATAATAATAATAATAATAATAATGTAATATAAATTTCAAAATACTGCAAGAAGAAATTTTCCAAGTTTTACTATTCGGAAATGATGAATGAAGATAGGTATGTTTAATCTGATTTAAACATTAAATGGTGCATACCTATAGTGAAACAGCATGTTGCCTACCCTAAAATACGTACAGTTTTTACGTCTTCGTGTACTAGTTAAAAATAAATTTAATTTTTAAAAACTTTCAGAAAAGCGGAGTGAACCCAAGGCTCTGACACCGAGCTTAGCAGTAACTCCCTAACATGGAATATTTGGCACATCTGAAGTCTCCTCCCTACTGGTAAAAATGTTGAGACCAGGGTCGTTGAGGTATGAACGTCGTCAGAGGTCTTACGTCAAATTTAGTCGCTACCACTTGCAGGCAACCTGCGGTCTCGGGAACACAGCGGCGGGTGTTGGCAGACGCGCAGGGCCGTGTAGACGCTGCCGTAACCCGGTCGAGAGCCTTCCTTCGTTTGCAGTTTCTGGCAGGGGCTTTGCCCGTAGCAGCCCCAACTGCCGAGAGGACTTCTTTTTAGTGATTGATTAGTTGCTCCGGGCCGTCATCTGTGTGACCCCGTGACAGGGCTCCCCCCGAGGAGGAAGACCCCCGGGCCACGTGGTCGGGGTGCCAGGCCATCCTCGCAGGTGGGCAGGAGCCGCTCTGCCGGCCACCTCTCACTGGACCGGGCACTGCCACCCCAGACGCTTGGCGCACAAGCGCGTCCCTTTGTGAACGGTTTATTTCCTGATGGTTAATGACATGGAGTGCGTTTGCAGGCCCCTGTGGGCGAGGCCTTTCCTGTGTCCCCCACTGGCCGGCTGGAATACGGACGTCCCCACCCGCATTCGCTCCAGAACCAGCTGGTGGGCAGGTACTCTGTTCTCCTCGAGTTGGCTTTGCTTCGCCCCTCAGGTGCTTCCGAGGGCTCGCTGCCTGCGGGAGACGCCCCGCAGATCCCAGAGCGATTTCTCGGTCTCTGCCCTCTCCCTGCCTGGCCCCACACCTCGGGCTTGGGCTCGGAGGAAACTGGCGGACTCAGTGGTCAGCTAGCAAGGACGTGCACCTCCAGTTGTCCTCCTCCTGGGGGCGCTGTTGTGAGTTGCTGCCGTTCCCCGGCTGAAACAGTCTGTGTGTTCTGTCCAGGGTCTGTCCCTTTCAGTTACATGCATAGGCGTTCTTCTGTTGTTGGGATGTCTTCAATGAGGAAATGCTTGTATAACTTCGAGGGGAAAGTGTGGTCCAGATTTTGTGAATGGCAAAATCAAGGGAACCCTTGTGTAATTTAACCTGTTTCTCTTTTTTAACTTCTGTACTTTTCTCTTGCTTGAATTCCCTTCCCTCCTTCCTCTCTCCCTTCCTTTTCTTTTGTTCTGTTTGAGACAGAGTCTCCCTATGCAGTTCAGGCTGGCCTTGCATTCACTTTGTAGCCCAGGCTGGCCTCGAACTCTCAAGAATCCTCCTGCCTCAGCCTCCCAAGTGCTGAGATTACAGACGTGTGTCACCACACCTGGCCCTCCTTTCCTTCTTGTCTTTCTTTCATGCTGGGGAAAGAACCGCAGCCTCGCACGTTCTAGGCAAGTGCTGAGCCACTGAGCTACACCTGGTTCTTTGCATTTCTTGGGATTTGGTAGTCAGATTTGTAGACTGATGTGGCTCAATTTGGGTCAACCGGAAGTGTTGCATTTGTCCACCGGGAGATGTCAGACATCTAGCACCATGTGTCCCTCTTGTCCTTGATGTCACTGGTCACCGGGAGCACTGATGAGGCCCAGCAGTATCTCACAGGCAGCACAGTGGAGATGGCTCTGCCGAGAGTCAGCTTTTCTTTACGTGGAGACTGTATAGTGTGGCAGAACCCATATGTGATTCTTCATTTAAACAGCTCTTAAAATAATGAGTCGCGGGGGCTGGGGATTTAGCTCACCGGCAAAGCGCCTGCCTGGCAAGCGCAAGGTCGTGAGTTCGGTTCCTGGTACCGGAGGAAAAAGAAAAAAAAAAAAAAAAACAAAAAAAAAAAATAATGAGTCGCCTTCCTGCTGTATTCCAGCGATGCCCAAAGGGGCTTTTGAAAATTTTTTCTTTTATCTAAGAATCATTGCGATGTCATCAATTTAGAGACGGTGTGTTTCAGTCAAATCAGGAATAACAGTCAGGGGCTGGGCTGCTGCTGCAGCCCATGGTGGAGCTCGTGCCTGGTGTGTGCAAGTCCTGGGCTCTGTCTCTAGCTCTGAAAGAAAAAGAGGCGGGAGATTAATAAAGATCGCAGCGTACATCAGTGATAGAGAACATCAGCAAAACCCAGCTGGCCGAGGCATCTAGACAGAGCCGTAGCACCTTGTCTATCCAGCATCCAGTGACATCAGCGTAACTGTTTATAGTTCACACCACTCGATGGCACTTTGGCTGCATACACAAAGGTGGTGTCCCCTATGGTTATATGAATCTGAAAAGCCATCGCCTCAACTTTTGACTGCATTTGTCTGAGTGTATATGTACAGCTGCTCACTGACTGTGCTTCTGGGGTCGCCTGTGGTGTGCGGCTCCATGTGCCAGCGCTGCAGTCATCCAAGGTGCGCTTCTGATCAAGTAACGTGTGACGGTATGACCTTATTTAGTGATGTAGTCATACAACAGCATTAAAGATAGGCTGACAGCACCACCACCAGCAGTGTGCTCTTGAAGGTTTCTAAGGATTTTCGGGTTCTCTTGTCTTTAAGCTGTATCCCAAAGGCGTCCTGGAGACGGTTCATCTTTGTGGTTTTGCCACCACCTTGAAACATAGTGAGATGGTTTCCTTTCTCCTTTCAATATTTAGGAGCTGCTTCCTAGGACTTCTTTTTTTTTTGGTTTTTCTCCGGTACCGGGAACCAAACTCACGACCTTGCGCTTGCCAGGCAGGCGCTTTGCCACTGAGCTAAATCCCCAGCTCTGCTTCCTAGGACTTCTTAATCTTCTGATTACTCAACATACCTGTGTGATCTAAACTGTACAAAACAAGGTCTATTGGGAGAACTCTAGCTTCTGTCTTGGTTCCATCCAAAGAGATGTGGCCCTCCTTTATAACTTTTTTTTAATGATTTTTATTGGTACATTTTAGTTATCTATAATGATCACATTCATCATAGAGAATTTGTACCTGTACAAGACATAACTTGACTTTTCCCTGTTCTCCTGCCCTCCCTCCAACCCCTCCTCCTTTATGACTTTTAAGGTAACTTGTCTTCTATCCTACCATCAAAACATAAGCGGAGGGGCTGGGGTGTGGCTCAGGGATGATGCACCTGCCGGGCGTGCACAAGGGCCTGGGGTTTAAGCCCTAGCCCCTCAGTAAAAGAAATGTCCACATCTAGCATCAATTTATAGGTACTGGCTTTACCACCACAACTGAAAACAAAACAAAAAAGCCCAGACAAACTGGAACAACACTTCTCAAGACACTGGATAGTAAGCATCCAAGGAGAGTAAGTAGCTCCTAAAAACTCTGGAACATCAGGAGCAAATGCCAGCCAGTGGACACCAAGGGATGCCAGCGGACTGTCAGGAGAGCTCCAGGCCAGCATGTGCCGAGATTCCAGGATGTCCAGTGAGTGGGGATCATAGATGAGTGCCGCAGACAGGCGCTTCTTGGAGAGAAGGCTGTCCTCTGAGTATTCAGAGGTGACAAACCACCCAAAGTCACAGCCTGCAGTGTGATGGGAAGGAATGGGAAAGGTATGGCACTGCCTCTGCTAGAAGAAAGGAAACCAAGAGACTGGAAAGAGAAGGAGAAATACGTCCAGAAAGGCAGGAGATTAATAAAGATAGCAGCATACATCAGTGATAGAGAACACCAGCGGAACTCAAGCTGGTTCTTGCAGTTAGTAAAGTGGATTAACGTCTTGCCATAGAGGCCAGGAAGAAGGAGACACAGGTTACCAGGTCGGCAGTCAGAAAGGGGCGGCACTGCACACCCCACGGACTGCCAGGAACAACTTGGGTCCATTAGTTCAACAACGTGAATGAGTGAAGACGTCCCGTCTGAGGTCCAGCCGCAGAGTTCACTCCAAAAGAAACAGTTAACCTCAGCAACCGTGACCGTAAAGCAAAGGAAGGTACAGTTAAGAATCTTTCTAGAGAGAACTCCAGGTCAAAGTGACTTCATGGCGATGTCTACTAAGCCTGTAAGGAAAAAAGAAAACTATTTCTACACAAACCCTTGTGGAAAATTGAAAAACCACTTCTCAAGTCAAATGGGTCCAGTTTTGCCGTGATAGCAAAACAAGACAAAGGCATAACAAGAAAACCATGTATCTCTCACAAGGTCTCTTATAAACATAGTTATAGAAGTTTTCTATGAAACTTCCACAAGTTAAATCCAGTAATATATCAGGAGACACATCACATCCAAATGGGGTTATTTCAAGAGTGCAAGTTTCTTTTAACATTTGAAAATCAGTCAGCGTAACTGACCACGCTGATGAACTTTAAAGACATAATCTATGGGTTGAAGACACCCAGAAAAAGCATTTAAAAAATCCAACATTGATTGTTGATTTTAAAACAAAAACCACATTTTTGCCAGGCACGGTGGTGCACGCCGGTACTCTTAGCTACTCAGGAAGCTGGGAAGGCTGAAGCTGGACAATTATAAGTTCAAGGCCAGCCTAGGCACTTTGTCTCAAAATTAAAAAAAGAAAAAAAGAAAGACTGGGGCTGTAGCTCAGTGCTAGAGCGTTTGTCTAGCATATGTGAAGCCCTAGGCTCAATCCCCACTACCCCCAAACAAATGAACCTGTCAACAAACTAAGAGTAGAAGGGAATTTAAACCAGCCTCCATGACCAGCTTACAGCTAACCTCATACTTAGTGGGGAGTGACTGGGTACTTTTCCCCAAGATCAGAAAACAAACAAGGACGTCTACTCTTATCACAGCTGTTCACCACTGTCTTGGGGTGCATTGAGGCAGTAGCCAGAGGCAAGAAAAAGAAAGCAATGCTCTCAGATTGGGAAGAAGTAAACTTGAATCTGTATTTTCAGACAACATGAACATATATGAGTGAAGTCTGGTGAGATCTAAATGAAAGCTGCCAGAAGTAGTAAATGTGTTTAGTGTATATACAGCAGTATATACAGTTATTTTCTTCATAGTATACTTGACCTATTCAACAGCTCTTTTTTTGATGGACAATTTGTTTCCATTCTTTTGTTGGTACAAATAATTGTGGAATTACACAGTTTCGTGAGTGTATCTTTCCAACACTTGTTTTTGTACCCTTCTTTGAAATACATTTATAGAAGTGGGATTGTTGGGTCCAGGGTGTGGTTTGGTGGTAGAGCGTTTAGTTAGCATGTCGGAGGCCCTGGATTCCATCCCCAGCACCACCGGGAAAAGAAAGTGGGATTGAGTCCACAGGTCAATTCGTAGGCTGTTTCAGGCCATGTTAGCTGTCATTCAGGGGCTTCTGTCATCATTCTGTCCAGGGACCCGCACCACGGGAGAGCGTGTTCCCCATCTCTCTCGGGGCGCGTGCTGTTCAGGACTTGGATCACCTTCTGGGGCGGGTTTGTGCAGTTAGGAGCCAAGCAGCGCATGCTGCCATGTGGCACCGCTGCTTGTGCTGCTTTTCCTGAGACTTACTGCCTTGCTGTCCATCGGTGTGTTTTGTGTTTGCAGGCTGGGGCTGGAGACGTCCTTTTGCTGTTTGTTATTTTTTTTTTTACTTCAATTATATTTTATTGGTACGTTTCAGATATACATAGGGTTCACATTCATCATAGAGAATTTGTACCTGTACATGATTTAACTTGTTTTTTTCCCCTTTCCCCTACGCTCCCTTTAACTCCTCCCCTGCCCATTTACAAAGCTTCCTTTCCGTGTTTCCCTTCTTTTTGCTTTGTGTTACTTTTAAGTAATCAGATTGACAGTCTTTTCCCTTTGTGCTTCTTGATTTTTGAGACATAATCAGGAAAAATCTGCCCGCCAAGTACACAGAATTCACCCAACGCTTTTTCGACGCTTAGTTTTCGTTTCCTACGATCAGGTGTCTGATCCTTTTAAACTCACGCTGTGAATACCGAGGGAAGCCTCCCGTTGCGGTTTGGCGCGTGTTTCTGATGGCTCGCGCC